AATGGGCTCAGAGGTCCAAAGGAGGGGCCTGAGTACTAGGACCTTTCATAAATAGTTGTCCCTCAAGGAATAAGAGTAGACCTTAAAACAAAATTCTCTGAAATACTTTCCATGGAAAACTGGCTGTTCAAGACACTATGAGGCATTAAGAGAAACTGAGGCTCAGAAACACTGAGCTAAATGAAGGTACACAGTCTGTTTTACCTAGAACTTCCTGGATCATGTGGACAGACACGGCAATTCCCCAGGAAAGGGATATAATATTCCAGCTCCCTGTAGGACTCATGTTCCAGCTTCACGTAATAAATACATACAAACAGAAAAGGCATTTAATTCAAACATCTGTAAGGAAATGACTAAAACTGGTGACATTCAAGGCCACAAGGAAACCTCAGAGATACTAATGAGCAATCCTCTTTGGTCACATTATCTGACCACAATGCAATAAAAACAGAGATTAAAAACCAAAGGATAAATGAAAAAAATTAAATCACTTGGAAATTTATTCCTAAATAACTCAAGTCAAGGAAGGGAACAAAACTGCAATTATAGGCCATTCAGAACATAATGACAATTGGATCTCTGCATAGCAAAACTCATGGAATGTAACTAAACACTGCCTGTAGCTCTAAATGTTTTTGTTATAAAATAAGGAAGACTGAAAGTAAATGAAGCATCCAACTCAAGAAGCTGGAAAATAAGCAACAAGATAAACTCAGGGAAAGAATTAAAAGTTAAGGTAAAAGTTAATGAACTAGAAAACATAAAAATCAGAACTGGTAAATCAAAGACTCTGCTCCTTGTAAAGAGCTGTAAGATACCTAGACTTGTAAAATCCCAATAAAGAGAGAGGGCAGGGAGCATGAAAGAGAGAGAGTACAAAAAAATAAATAAAAATTAGAAAAGTAAAGGAAATTTAACCAAAGATGCAGAGAAGAGTTTTCAAATTATAAGAGATAAACAATACACACAGTATCCTAGTTTATCTAGAATGTTCAGTGGGGAATGCCTGTATATCAGTCTGCTCAGGCTGCATAACAAAATACCACTGATTGGGTAGCTTAAACTACAAAAGTTCATTTTCTCACAATTCTGGAGGCTGGAAGTTCAAGATCACGGTGCTGGCAGGGTTGGTGTCTGGTGGGATCTCTCTTCCCGGCTTGCAGATGGCCACCTCACCATGTCCTCATATGGCCTCTCCTCTGTGCTCCTGTGGAGAGATATCTCTGCAGTCTCATTCTTTTCTTATAAGGACACCAGCTCTACTGGATGAGGGCCCCACCCTTATATCTCATTTAACTTTAATTACTTCCCTAAAGGCCCCTACAAATACCATCGCATTGAAGATAGGGCCTCCACACATGAATTGGGGGGGCAGGGGGACACAATTCAGTCCCTAACAGCATACTTTTCTAGATAAGTGAGAATTGCCAAGAGAAGCAGAAAACCATGGAACCAAGGTGAACATGGACATAGAACTATTTCTCAAAAGTGTTAGGAGTCCAAGTGTTTAGTAGACAAGTTCTTTAAAACTTTCCAACAATGTTCCTAGGCTGTTTAACTACCCAGAAAGCAGAAAAAGATAAAATGTGCTCCAACTCATCTACAAATCTAGCACAGCCATGATACATAAACCTGACAGAGATAACCAAAAACTTCACCCAGCCTGGCATCTTAACAAGATCCCAGGCGATTCGTATGCATGTTACAGTTTGAGCAGCACTGTACCACGCAACAGGGAGGGTTTTCAAAATAAAGTCCTCAAGTCAAAGGGGCTAGCAGGAGCCCAGTGGGCTGAGACCAGGGCAGCCTTGAGCAAAGAGCAGCCGGCAGAGGACAGCATAGAGGAAATCCCGGGCCAGAATTCGAGTTCTCAGGGGGGATATCTAGGCTGTCCACACCTGTCTGCTGGACATGCAGGGAGACACTGGGAGCCAGAAATGGAGTGGACAACACACCCCAGCGCCACATACACATGACATGAGTTTGGCATGTTTGGGATATCCTTACATACTGAAGGATGTTCCCAGAGCAGAGGGCACAGAGTTCACACTGACATGCTAAGGGGTATGAGGAGGCTGCTTGGCTCAGCTCAGTGTAAGAAACCCACAGCAAAACTCTCTAGGGAGTAGGGAGCTCCCTGTCACCATATGACCATCCTCCAGGGATGTTCCAGAAGGGATGCCAGCCCTGGGAGAGAAGCCAGTCTTGATGTAAGATGTCCTCCCAAGCTTGTGACTCTAATCCTCTAATGGCTCCATCCCTCCCCATAATGACAAGTGATGACTTGGCTGGCCAAGACACACAACTGTTCATTTTCAGAAAACATTATTCCTGCATGCTCCACGACCTTCTCTCTCCACGCCTGCATTACCATCTGTCGGTAGCACCTCTCAAGATAGTAAGTGCGGGAGGGTAATGAGCAGAATCTGACCTCACTTGCATTATTGGTCATGTAGGTGCAGACAGGCCCAGAAAGTGCCACTCAGATAGGTGTGTCTGCAGCCCTCGCTCCCTTCAAGTTTCCATGGTGAGCAACCTGTCAGGTCCCAGGCTCAGAACAGATTCTGGGAGAAGGCTGCAGGCTTGCAGACCATTCAAGATGTCCATTAGAAGCATTATCAAGTCCAGTCTTCCCTCTCTCCATAATGGACTAAATGCTGGCCTGCCACACTAATGGGTACTTGGCCACAAAGAAGCCTGCAATAGCTAATGCCCCATTCCTTATTATGTGGATTTCAATGACGGGTGAAGTGCTTTCATTATCATCTCCATTTGCAGACTTACACATGCCTGAATTACTCAGTGTCTGGGTCAGCCCTGGTCATAAGCATGAAAAAGGCTACGGGACTAGGAACTGAAAAAGCATTGTAAGCATCGCCCACAAACTGTGCCAGGCTTTGGGGGAATGGAAGAGCAGATACCAAACCACATGTTAACTCCCAGCAGGGCCAGTGTCATACCTCCTCCAATACTGGGTTGCAGGGTTACAGAAAATGGGCACTCTATCCCATAAATGGAATGGAAGTTACAGTTTACCAAGGACACCTTCTCAACAAAGTATACCAGGAGCTATCCCTAGGGGGATGGGGAGTAAAGGGGTACAGTGAGCACAACTCCGTGAGCCCCTCATTCCTCACAGCAACAGGTTGGTTGGAAGCACTAGAATGCCCAGCATTCTAGAGTAAGTTCCTGCCAGAATGCAAGCAGCCCCCAGTGAGCACTGACCAAGGTGTTTATCCCCCACTCTAAGTTAGGACTTTGGGTTTTCTCCCTTGGAGATGGAGGGAGTATGTTATGTGTGTGTGGAGAAAAGGGAAACAAATATTGGTGACAAGGAGACACAGGACGTTCTTAGGACTTTTTTTTTTAAGATTTTATTTTTAAGTAATCTCTACATGCAACATGGGGCTCGAGCCCACAACCCTGAGATCAAGAGTCACACACTCCACAGACTGAGCCAGCCAGGTACCTTTTAGGTCTCTTGACAACGTTCCTATTCTCCTCCTTCTGGGTACACAATAAGACTGTACCTCTTTGACCAAGAGTGTAGTGTGGCCAGAAGGCTCACTCAGGACAATGAAATGTCGGCGGAAGTGACATGTATCATTTCAGTGGAAGTACGAGAATAAGGTAGAAGCAATATTTGAAGACACCATGGCTGAACATTTCCCAAAACTAATGAAAGACACTAATCCACAGATTCCAGAGGTCTAAAAGTAAAAACAAAGAATAAATAAAAAAGAGACCCACATGTCAACATGATAGTGAAACTACAGAAAAACTAAAGAGAAAGAAAAGTTCTTTAAAAGAGACATGAAAAGAAACAGATTACCTTCACAAGAAGTTAGGTAGTGGTGGAATTCTGAATTCTCAACCCTAGTGGAAGCTGGAAGAAACTGAACTCCGCTTCAGTGAAGAAAGGAAAATAGCACAACTATACTCCACAAAGTTATTCTTCAAGAAGGAGGATAAGATAAAGACGATTTCAGACAAACAAAACCAAAAGAGTTCATCAGGAGAACGCTCTAAAAGGTAAACCTCTAACGGAAACCAAGTGATCCCACGTGGCAGGTCTGAAATACAAGCAGCAGAGAGAAGTCAACATGAGGACAAGTGGCAACAAACCTGGACCGTGTGGAATGACAGTAGCAATGCTGTCTGGGCAACTTTTTAAAATTAGGCTTAAAATAATAACATAATAAGTCAAGAGGAAAGTGTATGTAGAGAAAGTCCTGTACTACTTGGAAAGAGGATGAGACTTTTATGAACTTTAAACCTTGGTAAGTTATTTACGAATGTTTCAATCTGTAAAGTAACTACTAATGATTAGAGAATGTGTAACTTACAAAACTGTGGGGGAAATGGAAAGAATTTTTTTAAACTGTCTATCTAAAATTAGGGAGGAAGAGAGAAAAAAATCAACCAAAGAATAGGTCAGGAAGCACAATATAATAGATTTAAACTCAAATATATCAGGAATTACATTAAACATACAAGTTTAGAAACAGTTAAATGACAAAAGACATGTCACCAGCAATTGTGAATGGCAGCTTTCCCCAAAGCTACCCCACCTCTTGAAAGCGATGGACAAGTGGCCTTTCACTGATGACTCCAGCTGCCCATTGTGACCATTCACGACTGCTCCCTGACATCACACAGTGTACCTCTAGGAATCAAGCAGAGCTGGCATGTACCCTCTTCACCTTCCTGTGGGGCTGCTGTGGTGTTCTGGCTCTCGCATGTGCTTTATACGGTTCTTCTGTGTAACTCTGCTCTCTGTGCAGCTGCCCCCGACAGTTCCTTGTCCCTTTCCTAACCCACCACTTGTGGTTGCAGAGCACCGGAAACAATGAGTTGTTAAGACCTTGGCCAACAGAGTTCTAAGGGCCAACTCTGGGCAGAGGACAGCTCCATCCTCCTTACCAAGGGCTCTTCCAACAGGGGCGTTTCATTTTCAATCTGGGAAGTGAGCTACTCTGCCTCAAGAACAGTTTCTCATGGAGCCAGAAGCCTTAGAAATTTGCCCTTACAACCCGCACCACCGAGTCCCACTCAGCAGATTTCAGTACCACCTGGCATCCTGCAGGAGAAAGAACCCCAAGAAAGCCAAAAAGATGGCCAGCTGCAAATACAACGCCTGCCACGTGGTCCCCATCAAAAAGCTGGAGGAGCACGAGGCTGCCTGTGTCAGCAGAAGCACAATGGAGGAAGAGGAAAGCCTGTGCCCCCTGAAAGTTAGCCTTCCAAGTTCAGAGCAGAGTGGAAATATCCCTCCAGAGCGCCCCCGGCTCCCCAGTTCTGATGTCTGGAATGTCGACAGCACTAACTGCCATCCCACGTTTGTCCTTAAAACTTTCGTTCCCCAAAAGCTTGTTTGCGAAAGTGACATAAGAGAGTCAGAGAGAGACAGAGAGGCCCATTCCCCAAGACTGACCACCCCCCAGAAGACTCTCAGACCAGGAGGATAAACCACCAGCAGCAGAAAGGAGCGCTTGCCTCTTAAATGCCGGAAAGGAGATGCAACTCCCCAGAATAAAAGTGCGAAGTGAGCCACCTGGGACACCTCGTTTTTCATGAAGCAGTTGGTAAAGATCTAAAGGCTGGCAGGACATTCTGCTGGCAAAGATGGGGCAAACAGGCACTTTCGTAACATTGGTGAGAAGGTAAGCTGATAAATCTCTGCGGAGGGCAATTTGACAGAAGCTGTCAAAATGACCAGTGTGCTCTGCTTCGATGGCGCGATTCTACTTCCAGGAATGCATCCTGTAAATATATTCACACTTGCAGAAGAAGAAGTGAGTGCAAGGTTACCCACTGCCATGTTATTTGTAGCAGTAAAGGTCAGTCAGAAATGATCCAAATACCTCTTGCAAGAGGGTCTGATTAAATGAATTACGGTGCAGCCATACCCAGAAATAGTATGCTGCCATGAGAAAGGGTGAGGCAGCGCTTTCAAAACTGGCTTAGAAAGGCTGAAACATCGTGTTTAACTCAGACACCAGCAAGCATTTTCTCTAAAAGGCCAGCGAGCAAACAAAAAAGGCCAGAGGCTTTACAAACCACATGTTCTCTGTCACAGCTATTCAGCTCTGCCTTAGTGGCATGGAAGCAGCCACAAACAATATGTAAACAAATAAATATAGGTTCCAATAAAGCTATTTATAGAAACTCGTAACAGGCTAGATTTGGCCTGTGGGACATAGTTTGCCAACTCCTGGTTTAACTGATAAAAGCCAAGTCCAGAACATTCTGTATATTATGCTACCATTTTTGCCCAGTTGTGGGAAAGAACATATGCACGTATGGGCTTATATTTGCATAACATTTCTCTCAAGGATACACTAGAACAGCGGTCCACCTACAAAGCATACAATGTCTAACTGATCCCTCACAGAAAAAGCTTGTTAGTCTCCTCCCTAGAAACTTACCAGCTCTCGGGGCAGCTGGGGGCTCATTTGGTTAAGTGTCTGACTCCTGATCTCTGCTCAGGTCATGATCTCACTGTCTGTGAGATCAAGCCCCATGTGAGGCCCTGTGCTCATAGCACAGAGCCTGCTTGGTGTTCTCTTTCTCCTCTCTCCTCCCTGACTCGCACTCTCTGTCTCTCAAAATAAATAAATACACTTAAAAAAATCTTTAAAAAAAAAAAAAGAAAGAAAATGATCAGCTCTCTCCAGGGAAGGCAACTAGGTGACGGAAAGTCAGGGGAGAGAGACTTTAGTCTACAGACACTTTAGTACCTTTTATTTTTTTTCTACATAGAAAAAAAAAGGAAGTAAAAGTTTAATTCTGTGGTTTATATTACACCTCATTGTGTCTCATGAACATTTAAAACCCTGTCCCCTTTTGCTTTGGAACCCTCCCCTCAGAAAACCATACACTAACCCAATGCTACCTCCAATTCTAAGAGGATTCACAGATCAAATTCATCTACTGTTATTTCATATGTAAGAAATTCATGCTAAGAATGGAATGTCCCAGGGGCGCCTGGGTGGCCTAGCTGATTAAGTGTCAGACTTCAGCTCAGGTCATCATCTCATAGTTCATGAGCTCAAGCCCTACATCAGGCTCTCTACTGTCAGCACAGAGCCTGCTTAGGATCCTCTGTCCCTCTGTACTCACCCCCTCTGCCCCTGCCCCACTTGCACTCTCTATCTCTCTCAAAATAAATAAGTAACTTTAAAAAAAAAAAAAAAAGGAATGTCCCCAAACAGTAGAGGTATTAAATGTTAGGGAAGATTGAAATGAAGTGGGATGCCTCAGAAGACCATGTAATTTGTGAAGGTGGGTACTCCTGACCCTCTTTTTCCTCCCTCATGAGTCTGTACAAGGGCATATCTCAAGTGCACTTTAGCGACAGCTGCAACACTGTTTAAGTATATGCAACAGCTGATCTCATGGGGAGAAAACACCTGAATAGGTTAAACCTTCTTGCTATACCAAGTTCATATTGTGTTAGACAATTTCAATCATCTGCCATGGAGCACTGCCTGCAACCAACCCTTCAGTACCTTTTACATGTGAATACATGTGAATATACTATCTGGTAAAAATTAAAATACACATTTTTTAAAACAGTGAAAGACTTAAGTCTTTTGAAAGTTTTTCAGGAGGAAATCTTAACTGATAAGTTATTTCTAAGTAATCATAACTTTGCCAACCCTGGGCCTCTCAATTCTTTCTACAAAGTGGGAAATAAAGATTTCTTCTTGCAAAAAGAAGAAGAAGAAGAAGGGGAAGGGGAAGGGGAAGAAGAGGGAGAGGGAGAGGAAGAGGAAGAGGAAGAGGAAGAGGAAGAGGAAGAGGAAGAAGAAGAAGAAGAAGAAGAAGAAGAAGAAGAAGAAGAAGAAGAAGGAGAAGGAGAAGAAGAAAGAAGAAGTTGTTCTAGTTGTTGCCCCTAGAAAGTCTGTAAAGTGCATGAATTAGAGAATGGACATACAGAAAACAGATGAAATAAGAAGGTCATGTGTAGGGCATGTATCTGTAAACTACTGGCCACCAGGACCAAGAAAAAGAAAAAAGTAATTTGGTTTGGGTGTGAATGAAACAAACTGGTCATGAATTAATCATTCTTGATGCCGAGTGATAGATAAATTTTACTATTCTCTCCATTTGATATAAATTTGAAGTCTTCCATACTAAAAATATTTTTAAATACACATACATATACTAAAATGCAATGTGGGATCCCAGATTGGATCCTGGAAAAGAAAAAGACATGAGTGGAAAAACTGGTAAAATCCAAATAAAGTCTGTAGTTACTAGTATTGTACTAATGTGAATTTCTTAGTTTTGCTAAATGTACCACATGCTCTCGTTAAGATGTTAACACTAGGGAAAGCTGGTGGAGAATATATGGGAATTCTTTGTACTGTCTTTGCAAATTTTCTGTAAATCTAAAATGATTTCAAAACAAAAAATGTAAATACACTGAGCAAAGAGCAACACAATAGCCAGGACTGAAGCCCAGCCACACTTCTTACTAATGTTAGGCCTCAGGGATACCCTACCCTTTCTGGGATTCTGTTTCCTCATCCGCAAGGTAGGGATGACAAACTCCTGGGACTGTGGGGAAGATTAAAGGATGACATGCAGGATTATCAGGACAGTGTCTAGCACGTAGAAAGCTCCTGACTAATGCTACCTACTAGTAGCAGAAATGGTGGTATTATTCAGCAAAAAGAATATGTAATGGGCTAAGAGAAACAAGATGAGTAAGGAAACTTATAAAATACGTACACAAAGTTAATCAACTGAGAAAATCATCAATTTTGCATTTAAAATGATAAAACAAAACTTCTCAATGAAAATAGGTCAGGAAAGTGGCACCTGGTTGGCTCAGTCAGTTAAGCGTCAGACTTTAGGTCAGGTCATGATCTCACAGTTCGTGGGTTCAAGCCCTGAATTGGGCTCTGTGCTCGGAGCCTGGAGCCTGCTTCAGATTCTGTGTGTGTGTCCCTCTCTCTACCCCTCGTCTGCTCCATTCTGTCTCTCTCTCTCTCAAAAATAAATAAACATTAAAACTTTTTTATAAAAAGAAGAAAAAAAAATAGGCCAGAAAAGGACATTGTTCTGGACAGAAGCAATAACAGATATGCATATTAAAATTTTTTAATAGCCTCTAAAATAAGAGAAGTTTTTTTTATATGATTCAAACCAGGCAAGAGAAGAAAACAGACCAGGATATTACAGAAAACTTTATAAATTTGGGGTGCTTGGGTGGCTCAGTCAGTAAAGCATCCAACTATGGCGTAGGTCCTGATCTCATGGTTTGAGAGTTTGAGCCCCGCATCAGGTTCTGCACTGACAGCACTGAGCCTGCTTCGGATCCTCTGTCTCACATTTTCTCTGCTCTTCCTCTGCTCTCATGTGCACTCTATTTCAAAAAAAACTTTAAAAAAACTTACAAATCCAACAGAGAAAAGAAAGGGGAGGAGGTGCCTGGGTGACTCAGTCGGTTGAGCATCTGAGGCTTGATTTTGGCTCAGGTCATGATGTCACAGTTCATGATTTCGAGCCCCACATTGGGCTCTGCACTGACAGTGCCGAATCTACTTGAGATTCTGTCTCCCTCTCTCTCTGCCCCTCTCCTGCTTACTTCTCTCTCTCAAAATAAATAAAAATAAACTTAAAATAGAAAAAAAGAAAAGGGGGAAACAATAGTGAAAACACAAAATATAATGGTAGAAATCAACCCAGATATGTCAATAATCATATAAATGATAATAGACTTAGCCCACCTATTTAAAAACATTCCATTTACTTCTCTAAATCAAATACATGTCTATTCTGAGCAGTACTAACCAATACCTTTAAGCCAAAGATAGAGGCAAATACGTGAAATGTATGCTGCTACCACCACTCCCCATACATATAACAGACATAACTAACCAATCAGAGCACATTTTCCTGAGCCTGGACAATACCTTCAGAATCTTTCTCAACACAACGCTCCAGGCTGCCATTACACAGAGGACAGAAGTCAGCTCTATCTTAACAGAGCTCCCTGTAGGCAATTCCCCAGCTGGCCAGTGACCCTCATGGCCTGACTTGAAGTGTTTCAGGAAAGTAAGGAATACAAGGGCTTAAGAAAAACTCCTGCCTGGACATCAGGGAAGAAAGACCAGGCAAGAAAGGTATGTCTGTTCTAAATTCCTGGGCTGGATCTCAGCCAGCTAGCTGTTCCCTCCCCTCACTCCTCATTCCTTGCCTCTACTGGGCCAGTCTCCAGAGAACACTGGCTGCAAAGCACACTTTTACTGAGACCATCATAAAAACATTTGTTAGCAGTGATGGTGACCATAGCAAGCTAGTGCTGGGCTGGACCTGTGGCTGAATCAGAGAGGAGAGCCCATGGCTGGGGAAAAGCACTCACGAGCCCTGGGCAGTAGACAAGCTTCCCAGGTTCGTGTAGAGGATTCCTGGCAAATGGGGAGCCTAGCAGCAGAGCCGTGTCCTAGGGCAGAGGGGGCTCTGGCATGGCAGAGGGAGGAGGAAAGAAAG